ATGGGCCCCTACCTTAAATGGCAATGAAGACTCTAGAGAAGGATTTCCCAATTCTTAGGAAGATTTGGAGGCCAAATCAGAGTCTAGGTGTGGACAGGTTAGAGGTTTGTATGAACAACCCAGATTTCTGTTGGCACCCATGAAAATCGGCAAAGTTGAGCCTGAAACAGAAAACCTCTCCTTACCCATAAAAAGAGAAACCCAGATGGGAAAATGGTATATTCTCAATTGGTAACGGTGATCTGCTACAAAAACAAACAAACAAACAAACAAACAAAAAACACGAATTTTCTCTGGCAATGTTAAACTATGATATTTTACATACTGTTTGTTTTTTCTCAAAAAAAAAGAAAATCTGCTCCCACTTATATACCTGATATAAGAGAAGTGCTCATATTGAAAATCTGTGTAAAACTGGGCAAACATAAAAGGGCATGTATATACTAGTAGATGTGGGATAGAGGATAGGGGAAGGGTGGAGTTGGGAAACAAGAGTTTGATAAAAGGGTAGAAACTTTCAGGTATAAGATAAATACATTTTGAGGATGGTGACTATGATAATACTATATTGAATAATTGGAATTTGCCAAGAGAATAGAATTTAAGCATTCTTTCCAAAAAGAATACTTTAAAAAGGTAAGGGAATAAACTATCCCCTACCCAAAGACATTGATGTCTGGATTCCACCCCAGGATTCTGATTTCATTCATCTGGGATGTGGCTTTGGCATAGGGAAATTTAATCTTTCTCCAATCCACTCCAATGTGCAGCCAACTTTGAGAACTGCTGATATATAGTATTATTTGTAAACTAGAGACCTGGTGCTCAAATTCGTTCACAGGTGGGGTCCCTTGTCCTGGGCAGCAATTGGGTCCAACCAGGGCTGTCTCACCCAGTCTTGCTCAGGCTGGCCGTGGGGAGGTTGACTGTGGAAGCACATTGACCATCTGGCTGGCAGGGGGTAGGGACCACAGGAGGTTGGCCAGACACAGGAGGTTGGCTGTGGAAGCGCACACTGACCACCAGGGGGCAGCTCCTACAATGAGTGTCTTCCCCCTGGTGGTCAGTGCATGTCACAGTGACCGGCCAACCGGTTGTTCAGTCGCTTAGGCTTTTATATATATAAATACTCAAAGGCTATAACTCTACATAGAGCATAATACATTATATTTTATATCAGTATTGCTATTTTTGAAGTTTTTCATATTAAAACATTCATAACGACTATCACTAAACTGCACAGTGTAATATTTTTCTGCATCAGTGACAGATCATGTGGAAAACATATTAAATGTGCAGATTTTAGACTCCACCTTAGAGATTCAGATTTGGTATATTTGCAGTAAATCCAAACTTCTGCATTTTCTAAAGGGCTCCCAAGTGATTCTTGAAGTTGAAGTGCTTCAAAAAGATGTCTGGAACAGTTAATACAGGAGTCACAGTAGAGTAAGACCTCAAAAAACAGAAGAAATACAGATTTAAATTTTCTACCAGTTTTTGGAATGCAAATTACATATTGATGGCAGTAAGAATTTTTGGCAAATAAGTATGAACCATCAGTGTTACATTTATTGATGTAGATGTCTTAGTGCACAGTGTCAACTTCATGTAAAACTATAAACAATATGAAATTAAATAAACCTATTAACTCTAATTCTTTTAGTTACAAACATGTGAAAGTATTCAAGACTGCTACCATGTTAAAAAATACAAACACATATCTAGAATACCTTTAACTTAGGCATTTAAAAAAATCAATCCTTTGTCCATTCATATTTTAAAGGAACAGAAAAAATTTAAGGCAACCAGTTATGGACAAATTTAAGAACACCCGGGATAACAAATTCTTTGAGCTTTAGGACAAGCACACATTTTATTTTAAGGTTGAAAGACTCCTCTATCTAGCTTAAACTTCCTTGGGAATTTAAGGAAGTGAATTACTTAAACTGGAGCTACATCAAAATGTCAAGTTAACACATCTTGGCTTGTAATGGTGCCAAGGGATCTAATGTCTCAATGATCAGGGCCTTTGGTTTCCAAATCATGTTAAAGGTAATGTCATTACCAGGATGCTGGCACTTTCATTTTATGTTTTTCCCAGCTCTTTCCTATCTGTGCTAAGACCTGACAAGATCACATTGCAATGAACAGAAATGGTGGAAAACAAACAAAATAGCTGCAAAGAAAAAATGTCGACACGGTCCACAAATTCGGAAAAATTTAAATGAATATCCTATATATAAAAGGGTAATATGCAAATGGACCCTAATGGTGGAATGACCAGTCGCTATGACAGGCACTGACCACCAGGGAGAAGATGCTCATTGCAGGTGCTGTTCCCTGGTGGTTAGTGTGCTTCCACAGGGGTAGCACAGCTCAGCCAGAAGCTGATTTATGGCTGGCCAGAGCAGCAGCTGTGGCGGGAGCCTCTCTCATCTCCTCTGTAGCGCTAAAGATGTCTAACGGCTTAGGCTTAAGGGCTCCTGGGCTGCCAGAGGGATGTCTGACTGCCAGCTTTAGCTCAATTCCCTAAGGAGCGGGACTAACAGCTTAGGCCCAATCTCCCAGGGAGTGGGCCTAAGCTGGCAGGTGGACATCCCCCAAGGGGTCTGGACTGCGAGAGGGCACAGGCCAGGCTGAGGGACCCTCCCCCCCCCCTTCACCGAATGCACAAATTTTCATGCACTGGGCCTCTAGTTTTCTCATAATAGTCAATGATGCATTTGTTTTTTTGTAATATTTTCTTGTTTGTTTTTGCGACTTGAATACCTCATATCTGACATAGTATTATGTAACCAAGAACGTCAGTGCAGTATGGTTGCCATTATCTGTTTTTCTTGCGAATTTTCCTAGTAAGTGCTCTTTCTTTCAAATAACATGTATTCCCTGGTCAGGAGCTTTTCCATGACTCCCACACCCACTAGTTGGCCAGAGATGAGCTTATAACGTAGGTTTAGAACAGTCTAACCATAGCATCCATTTATACACTTGTTCCAGAGTTTTGGTTATTTGGCTCAAGCTGTGCTAATCAGGATCCATTTGAGTTCAGTTTACAGTGGGGGCGTGACCCAGCCTTTGAGGCATCTGCAGAAAAGACGGGAAAGGAAGCCAGTGGAAGGAGAAAGCGTTTGCAGTAAGAGAATGGAGCACCAGAAATCTGGGGTGGGCATAGAGAACCTGGGGTGCTACATCTGGGTTCTAATTCCTGAAGCCCTGGTGCCTGCAGCTTTTGATTCTGTGAGATCTTCTCAAGCCTCTTTTCTTGCTCCAGGAACTAATAAATAATTCCCCATGCATTCATAGCCGGACCCTAGCAGACTTGTGCATGACTGGATAAACCAGTGTCAGTTCTGAGGGCTGAAAACACACCTCCCAGAATTTGGGGCTACAGCTCTGTTAGCTGAGTGTAGCTGCATTGATGAGTGCTCCACAGTAGAGATATTCTTTATTGAACCAAGGCCCAAATGGTGCGATTTCCACACTGAATGATCTCAGGAGTTGAGTGCGATAATTGAAACAACTAAAAATTAGTTTACGACTTTCTTTTTTTTTTTTTTTTTTAACTGCTTTAGTTGTCAATACCCACTCAATTTATAATAGTAACCAATAATCCACTGTACAAAGAACATATTAACACCTATAAAACCCTGGTTGCCCAGCTGGTGATAGCTAAATACACTATAATATCTTAGGTACTACAGATTACAGGGTTATTGGTCCTAATTCATGCTGTCATAGCTTCATATACCTTTACCTTCTGCCCTGTGATTACAATGCTTCCCTGAGCAATCAGCTCCCAGCTGATTAACATGGCATACTGGGAGAGCTTGCTTTGACGAATGTATAGAGGGTAAAACGATGCCCACATGGTTTTGCTTCGCTTCTTAGAATTCTACTTGTGGGAATCTGCACAGGTTAAAATGAAATTTTACCCATTTTTTTGAATATGCAATATTTGCACATACAGCAGCATTCCAAAGGTACCAGAGGGTATACAACCACCTGGTTCCCCTCCCCGGAGAGAGCCATTTCCTGTGTAACCTTCCAGAAAAACGTAATCCATACACAAGAGAAGTCAAATAGCAGGATTTCCTGGAGTCGGAACCCAGAGGTTTCTGGATCAGGCTGGAAAAGTCCTTCCTGGGAAGAGTCTGATTCACTTACTTGAGGGTATTTGTAATCTGAGTGACCAGCTTGTAGGCAGACCTATAAAGAACCTACTGTTGACCAACCACTAGTCTACAAAGGCACTTGTCATATAGAGCTATCGATCTCATTTGAAACTCTTAAAAATGTACTGTGTCCAAAATGCAATCGATATTAGGGTGCACCTGAAAGCTCAGATAGGGGACTGCTCCTTGGCCTAAAGCAGGCAACAAGCACACAGTCGTGATTTCGGTTTGCGCCATCTCCAAACTGTTTCCTTTTGGAGACAGATCATTCCAATTTAGACCAGACACTGGAAAAACATGGTAAAAGGAAGTTTCATCTATTTACAGCAATATACGAATTAACTGTTTTTCTCATTTTAACTTGTTTAGGGCTCAAACGGAATTTTAAAAAATTGAGCTGAAAAGGTAAATTACATATTTAACTTTAATTAATCTGTACCAGATTGATATTTTCATCTGCAAAAATGTTTAAACTTTTAAATTTCTCCTAAAAGCATAATGAAATGAGCAAAACCACCACTGATCAAATTAAAAAATTTATTTACAAAACTTAATTACTTTGCTTTTAAAACACAATTATTCAATTCACAAAGATTAACCAAAATACAAACCCTGTCAAAGTTTATTATTATAATCTTTCACAAAATCAATAGCTTAAACAAAAGACTGCTAATGAATACTTTAATGTAAAACCACAATGTAAAAAAACAGGAACTTTAGTTCTAGTGATTGGAATATAAACAGAGAAATAATCTCCTTTAAAGGGAAAAAATACTTGAGGGGAAAAAATGGTATAACGTGTGTAGAGCAGGAAATGTAAATATCAGTTTAGTTCCTCATTGCCAACATGGCATTTATATCCCAGATGAGATTTCGTAATTGATCCATAATTTGCTTCAGCTGTTGATTCTTCTGTTTGAGTTTCTGGAGAAACAAAAGAATTTATCACAAGTGAATATTTGTACAGTGGATTATTGGTTACTATTATAAATTGAGTGGGTATTGACAACTAAAGCAGTTAAAAACTTCATATAGACCATGAAGTTAAAAGACTAAATGTCATAAGTCTGGACTCCAGTCAATTAATCCAAGCATACCCTTCAAGCAGATCTCAGTCATTTTCTGCCCACAAATATTCACTGAAAAGCATACTGAGTTCTAACTCAGCCAGCTCCACCTTCCTTTACTGGTCTACTTCCACCTTCAAAGAAAACAAAGTATTTAATTATTTTAAAACCTAACTATATAGGTTTGCCAAGAGGCAGTGTAACAGAATGGTCAAGAGCCAGACTCTTTGAGCTTCTACCTGGCTCCTGCACTAAACGTATGACAGGGACCAAATTACTGAACCTTTCTGTGCCTCAGTTTCCATATCAGAAAGATGGGAAAGTACACAGGGCATGGTGTACAATAGACAGCACCATAAAACTTACACCACTGGTTTTTAGAAAAAGACTGTCAGTATTCTAGTCAGTCTTCTTGTTCAGTTTTCAGATGGCCCACTTTCTAAGTTCTGTTGTCTTAAGTATCATCTAACCAAACGGACCCAGATAACTGGGTGAGAGCACAAATGACTGGATGACCAACACCATGGCTAGGAAGTCTTTTTCACCCCAGAGACCAAGAAACTGACACTTGTACCAGCAATGAAGGGCAGTGTGAAGCGAGTTACCCTATACCAGGGGTCGGCAAACTCATTAGTCAACAGAACCGAATATCAATAATACAACGATTGAAATTTCTTTTGAGAGCCAAATTTTTTAAACTTAAACTTCTACTAACCCCACTTCTTCAAAATATACTCGCCCAGGCCGTGTATATTTTGTGGAAGAGCCACACTCAAGGGGCCAAAGAGCTGCATGTGGCTTGAGAGCTGCGGTTTGCTGACCACTGCCCTATACAATAAAAGCCTAATATGCAAATTGTCTCCTCGATCTGGAGTTTGACCAGAGGGTGGGGTGGCCGGCCAACCATAGGAAGGGAGGTCCAGGCAGCTGCCAGGGGAAGAGAGGCCCAGCCAGCTGAGGAGGCAGGCAGCCGGGGAAGGGAGGTCCCAGATGTCAGCCGACAGCCACTAGGGACCCTGGGCCTCTAGTTTAGAAATATAAATTCTGATATACTTGTTTTTTTAAAAATTAGCCTCATTAATTCTTAAAAAATAATGTAAGAAAACTAAAAATTGTAGTATATTTTCATGGTAATATTCAACTCTAGGCAATAGTAAAAAATTACACGGCCAACAGGGTGGTGATTGCAGGGGGAGGTGAAAGAGGGTTTTGGGGGTAAATGAAAAAAAAATATTAAAAAAAATTTTAAGTATGATAGATAGAGTGGGTAAAAATAGGTTTATACTTGTTAATATCATATGAAAAATAATAATTAAAAAATAACAAGAATAAACTGTGTTTCACATACAACTATAAACTACTTTTGCTCCACATGCATTATAAGGCACTGGATAGTTTTCTCAAAGATGCCGCAAAGTTATAAATTATAAAAATTAGCATACATGTAAATTACCTAAAGCCAAAATACATCATGAAAACTATCAACAACAAAGCTGACAGTTCTGCTTATTAGTGGTTAAACTGTAAATCAATTTTCATGACATGATGCAGAATTTAATATTACAATATTGCCACTGATTGATTTTAACAGAGATTGTCAGTTGCTATTACCAAAATCTATCAGCTTTGCCTAATTTGCTACATTAACAGGTGAATGTAAGAGCAGAGTAGATACTTAAAAAAATAGGCTATGCTAAGTCATGCCATGTAACTCAATATTCATACAAAGGCTATGACAATTGGTCAAAAATGTTTTCATTTCTAAATGCATGGACTGAGTTATATGTCAGCTCTAAAAAACTACCTGCATTATCTTTCAATTTCATTTTACCATCAACAGAATAGTTTTAAGCAAAATAGAACCCATCTGATAGTCAAAATATATAGTCTCAACCACTTGTTTGGGTATTAGGGTATGGAATCCAGAATATGAAAAGAAAATGAAAAGTATTTATATGAGCCAAAAATCTGATCACTGAAACTAAGCCATCCTGTCTTCTGATGATTTACATCAAATACTGATGATAAACTTTGTGCTCCAAAGCTTCATGGCATTATGGTAGTTGTAGTCACACAGGTAGTCAGAAACCAGGTATATCATATAGATTAAATAGTAAACATAACCCTTCAGTGTTGTTCTATACAATTTCAAGTTCACAATGATACTATAGTATTTTGAAAATGACTGAATGAGGGTCAACTGAGGGATTAATAAAGCTACTTATTTTATGTGGCTTACTTATTTCCCTTGCCTTTGGGGTCAAGTTCACAAAAATCTTTGAGACTAAGATCCATAAATTTGGGGCCTAGGTTTTCTTCTGTTTATTTTATTGTTTTAGGTATTATATTCAAGTTTTTTTAAGATCCATTTTGAGTTAATTTTTTTATACAGTGTACTAGTTTCATTCTTTTGCGTGTGGCTGCCCAATATTTTTTCCGACACCATTTATTGAAAAGACACATTCCTTTCTTCATATATATTCTTGGCTCCTTTGTCAAAAAATTAGTTGTCCAAATAAATGTGGGCTTATTACTGGGTTCTCAGTTCTGTTCCATTTGTCTGTGTGTGTGTGTGTTTCTGCCAAAACCATATAGTTTTGCTTTGCTTTGTAGTATAGTTTGAAGTCACAGAGTGCAATACCTCTGGCTTTGTTCTTTTTTCTTAGCATTGCTAAGGCAATCTGGGTTCTTTTGTGGTTCCAAACAAACTTGAGGACTTTTTGGTTCCATTTCTGTGAGAAATGCCATTGGGATATTTATAGAGTTTGCATTAAATATGTAGATTGCTTTAGGTAATACAGACACTTTAACAATTCTTCCAATACATGAAATTAGAATATTTTTCCATTTCTTTGTGTCTTCTTCAATTTCTTCCAACCATGTTTTATAGTTTTCAGTGTATATAGTCCTTACCCTGCCTAAGTTTATTCCTAAGTATTTTATTCTTTTTGTTGCTTTTATAAATGTATACAGAAATGCAAGATTTTTGTATATTGATTTTATGTCCTACAACTTAACTATATTTACTGTTTTTAATAGTTCTTGGCAATAAGATATTTTTTACTATACACTCAAAGTATTGCCATATTTAGATTATATGAAAGGTCTTTTAAAAAAGAATCAAAGTTATTTCTAAGCCATCAAATCAGATAAAAAGAGAAATGATACATATTTAGAAAAATTGTATCTTTCTGAATTTACATGTGTATTTTTAATATAAAATCTATGGTAGAGAATGAACTATATGTCATATGTGGTACTCAGAAATGATAGTTAACATTACAAAGGCATTTTACTTATATATATGTGTCAATGCATTAAAAAAATCCCTTTTTGCAGAGAAGAAAAATAAATAGGACACATCTAATGTGAATTAATACATAGATTATCAATAGAAACATAAAACTTTTTGATAAATGCCTCATCTCTGGACTATCAAACACAATTTATACTTCATAATCTAAATTAAGTTCCCAATCCGCTCCTTAATGCCAACCAATTCTGTATTTGAGTTTTTTAATGCTCATTCATTACTGCCAAATCTGCTAGAAATAATCATGATTTTTACTTCCCTTTTATTATAAAAAAAGTTTTATTTTATAAAATCTACTCATCCTTTTCCTTTCTCCTTAGTTTTGATACACATTTTTCTTTTAATTTTCCAGTATTTTTTGTTTTGCAGGTCTTATTTTTAACTCTGAAATTCACTTTGACATATAGTGTAATATAAAAACTAACAATTATGTTTTCCAGTCACATTAAACTCCCCTGATTGTTTTGTTATCAATAATTCTGAAATATAAAATATACAGAACTAATCACTCACTTTATTAACTTCAGCAATTTCTCGCCTCTCTTCACTAGCAAAACGAGGTGGGCCTGCCCGATCATCATTCTTTGAGCCATCTTCTTCCACATATGGGATTAGCTGCTGGAAGTTATAAACAAGTTAAAAGTAAAAAATGTGACATAAAACTTCCAATTACACTAGTATAGCAATGAGTCAGGTTAAGGTCAATTTTTATACTTTTAATAATATAAAAAGAAATTTTAACTTAGATGATGGTCTAAAATAACAGCGTGATAAGTTTATAATTTCAGTGCACTTTGTACATTAGTTTTTGGGTTTCTTTTGAGAAATAGATGTTATAACACTAATTGTTACATATAGTTAAATAATACCCTACTTATTCAACCAACAAGTATTTAATTGCCAGCCACTGGGTAACATGTTGCAAAAATTATGACACATAAGTCGTGATTGCCACACCTGAGAAATTCATGGAGCACTGAGATAGAATAGGCTTTCTTTCATTCATACTAGAAAAAACTTCATGGATGTGCATGATATAAATTTCACTTACTTGCTATTTAGAACCTAAGTACCTATGCCAATTCCTAGATATCATAACTTCTTTTGATTAGGAAAAAGTTGTGTTTTATTTTAATTCTGTAGGAGAAAAAAATGTATAAAGCAATGAAACTTCTAGCAGAATTATAAATATAGATGGTTTGTGATGAAGTTTATTTGATGAAACTCCTTATAGATGTGATAGACTTCAGGAGTCATGTAGTCTCAACCATGTTATATTATTACCAATCCAGGTAATTAGGTGGTACAACTAGGAGTCATCTGGCTAAACTTCTTCAAATTCCTTTATAGAGGCAGTAAGACTTACCCACACCACTTTCTTCCCTTCCTCTCTCCTAATGCACACTCGTCCTTTCTCCTGAATATGGTTAGTCTTCCTGCCTGTGCTTTGCTTTCTGTTTTTATTACTTATCCACTTCCCAACTTTTCCCTACGGTTTCTTCCTTTGTCATCTAAACATGTTCTTATCTCTCCCAGGTGGAAGGAAAATGCCCCAAACCCCTTGACTCAATCATTCTTTCCATCCACTGCATTCCTCTCTTGATTTTTATCTCAGCTTCTTGAAAGATGGATAGCCACTTGTTAGCTCCAGTTCCTTATTTCCTGTTCAGTCTTCAACTTACTGTGATCTGACTTTTTATTGCTACCATTTCACTGCACTGCTGCTCAAATATATTGACAGTTCTCTTGTAAAATCTACTGAAGTTTTCAGTCCTTATTTTCCTTGACTTCTCTGCAGCCTCTGACAATTTGCCAATCATATTTCTGATCTTTCACCAACACCTTTGACCACTTCTTTTCAGGCTACTTTGCGTTTACACTTTCTCTGTTCATCCCTTCCTGCTGATCACTCAAAAAAGAAGCATTGATCACATGAAACTATTCTTTATATGTAATGAGACAACATCCAACTCTTCCCAGCTACCTTTGGGAGGCAGAGATATGACTAATCAACAGGAAAGGCTATGTTTAACAATATCATATACCCAATTAACTAAACTATATTTAGGATCCAAAGTTAAATTTACAGAATACATTTTAAAACAAGTGATTCACTAAGCTAATTTAAATTATTAATGATGAAACATAACTTTTATCCATAAAGAACTCACATTTAAATTATTTAAAATATATTTTTATTGATTTTTTACAGAGAGGAAGGGAGAGAAATAGCTAGAAACATCGATGAGAGAAACACCGACCAGCTGCCTCTTGCACACCCCCTACAGGGTATGTGCTCGCAACCAATGTACCTGCCCCTGACCGGAATCGAACCTGGGACCTTTCAGTCCGCAGACCGACGCTCTACCACTGAGCCAAACCGGTTTCGGCACATTTAAACTATTTAAAAAGTATTTGACATTACTAAACTCCTACTAAAAAAAAAAAAACACAAACAAACCACCATGCACTGATTTAGTTAATAGGAGACACTGACAATAATAAATTTTGCCACAGATAACAGTCATATTCTAACAACCTAAATTCACTAATAAGCCTATATATTCGTATACAAAAATTATTAACATGAAAACATGGTATTAATTCTATACATATATATTCTATACATATATTTATATCATATTTTCATCTTCTCCAGTCAAAAGTAAAACTGATATAATTCAAACTCTGGAGATATTGCAGAAGTAGAAGACAGTGAGAAGGGCAACAGTGACAAACACCTGAGACCAGTTTATGTCTTACATTCACCCCCTTTACCACTGGAACTTGCCTCTATTGGAATGGGATCCATCCCTCCGCAGTTTTCATTGCATTTGTCATAGACCAGTCTCAGCTTCCGGAAGAGAATAGAAAGCTGGCGAAGGTGATCCTGGAGCTTTGCTAGCCGATCTTGGTATGTTCCAGTATGGTACGTGACACCATTTGGGAGCTTATCAGGCAAAACAAAACAACAAAAATAAAAAGTAATGAAAATCAAGACTTTCTATAAGTAAAGCTAGCAAGCACACAATTTTAAGTACTGCATAAAAGCAAATAGTTCCTCAGTTAACCAAGTGCAGGTTTAAGAAGTTAAGAGTAATTGTGCTCATTTCTCACCTCCTTGGCATACTGTTAGGTATAACTTTAAGAATGTACAATTTTAATATTATTATCTACTACCGTGTTTCCCCCAAAATAAGACATCCTCCGAAAATAAGGCCTATTTACAGGTTTCCTTCTGAGTGAAATATAAGGCATCCCCCCCAAAATAAGCACTCCCCCCCAGGCTAAACATGAGAGATTTGGTCCACTGATTCTGAAAAAAAAATGGAGTCACAAGAAATTCACCAGGAAATTTAGGAATTAGTTTGTTATGATGATGTTCCAGAAAATGATGACATGATTGTCATTGAATAAATGAGTAAATTCTTGATACTGTAGGATTCACAGTTTGTCTGGTTTGTGTTGACAACTACCATACTACCGTACCGTATGCAGGTAATAAATTTCCTTTATTTTCATTTAACAATAAATGTGTACTGTATTCTTCTTCGTGGAAAAATAAGACATCCCCTGAAAATTAGACCTAGCGCATCTTTGGGAGCAAAAATTAATATAAGACACTGTCTTATTTTCGGGGAAACAGGGTATAACATAAAGGCACAAGTGGCTGAACTAAACTAGGAAGTGAAAAGTAATATAAAATTAAAGAAAAAAAAAAGAAATAAAGGAAGACAGGATTTTTTAACAAAAGAAAAGTAATAATATGCTGCTCCTGTTGCAAAATAATCTCAAGATACCTTAACTCTGATAATTAAGAAACTCAAGGCACACAATGAAATATAAAGCTGTTACCAAAGTTTTCTTTAAAAATAATATATAGCAGGATATAGATGCAAATTGATTTGAACTTGAACATTATTAATAAATTATTATAAGTAACTGCTCTGATCATCAACTGTCCTGATGCTTATGCATTTTTAATTTGGTAATTTTATCAAAGGAAGCCAAATGTATGCATGTAATGAAATGATAAAATCACAGAAAAATGGAAATCATTATTTATAACTAAATATATGCCTTTTGTGCCTTCCTGAAACTCTTGAACAAAATCTTCTTTTCTCTGTACATCTTTACATTTTATTCCCATAATCTTATCTGTGAAGTCATCCTAACATAAGCAATAACAACATTTACATCCTGTTATCTAGTATACAAGGTGCTTTCATTATAAGCACTTGCCTTTATATTTATATTGGGGATTAAAGTGATAAAACCTAACTACTTACTGTCTAATAGCTAGATCAGTCCAGTTTTTCTAAACCTCAGTTCTTTCTTCTTTATTTTAAATAGATGAAAAGTGAAAAAAAAAAAAAAGTACATGATACAGTGGAGAAAAAAGAAAATAAGATACACTATTGTTACAAGGTAAAACCATAAACATGAAAAAAAAAACACCTGAAAAGGTTTACATAGTTGATGAAAGATATAATGAGATAGTCTTGAATAATTTGTTTTCTTCTTTTTCACTTTCAAATTTTCTATAATGTTTACAAGATAAAGAGATGGATCTTCTGAAATTATTTGAATGAGATATTGTTAGGATTTTCAGAAATTCTTAAGCATTAAAACTTTCTGAGGACAGTGTCTCAAAGAAATGTGGTAAAAAATACCAAAGGCTGAATTAGTAAAAATAGTTTAAAGGAGAAAGGCATTAAAAGTTCAACACCCAATACAATGTAGGACTTCTCTTAAGCTTTCCAATTTATGAACTTTGACAAACACTAACTATCAAAGAAATGTTTCCAGTTTGGAAGTACTAAGTACCTTTCCCATAGCATCTACGAAGTTTAGTACTTTGCCCATATTTTCTAGTTAGTGAAGATTGGAACTTATTCATATTTGTATCACTGTATTTAGTACAGTACTGACAAACAGAAGGTTTTAAGGTATAGTCTAATTGATTTTACTTTAATGAGCTATTTTCTCAACAAATCTATTCTTAAAATTCACATAGAAGTGTGTGTCATGTAAAAAGAAGTCCAAATAGATTTTTTCACAAAGGAAAACAAAATCATTTTGAATGCAAACAATCACCCTCCTTAAATTCACCTACTTAGTAAAAGAAAGGAATAATTAATTGAGTCAAAAACATTATTGCACATTCTACATGTGTCAGGCACTGTCCAAGAAGCTGGGTTAAAATAGTGAACATGAGAGACATGTTCTGATACTGCAGAGTCTAAGTTATTATAGTGCCTAAGAGCCTTGTTATACACTGTAGTGTACATATTCAGCTGAAAAGCTCATCAATAATCATCTGCCTCATGAATGCTAATGAAGGCCCATAAATATATGATCATACCCCAGATACCAAAAAGGCCTTCAATTAAATTCAATATTCATTCTTAAAATAAATATAAAACTTGTACTAAACATTCCCCAGTGTGGTAAAATTCATTTATTCTAGTTAAAAAGGCAGCACAGCACATGATTAATGTGGAACATTAAAAGCATTCTCAATGAAGTCAGAAACAGAATAGGATGTCTACGAAGACCACTAACATTGCTAGTGAGCACTATTCTGGAGGAACTGGCCAATGCAATGAGAGAGGGAAAAAAGAAAAAATGTTAAAACATTATAAAGGATGTGGTATAATCATCACTACAAATGATATGAGGAAGTGCTACCATCAATAAAAGAATTCAGGATGGATGTGGGTACAAAGTTAAAGTATAGAAAAAAATAGTTTGCTTTTCATATATAAAAACAAAAGAAGAAAAAAGACCCTATTTACAATAGCAACAATAAAGACAAAACATCTAGAAATAAATTTTTTAAATTCCAAGATAAAAAATGAAAACTTAGAATACTTCATAGGGATACAAAGGATATTTATTCCATGTTCTTTGTTATTAAGACTTAACATAATAGTGATGTCTCCAGGTTAAATGAGCCTATTAAAAATGTGAACAGGTTGCTCTCAGAACTAAACAAGCAGACTGTAAAGTACATGTGGAAAAAAGCAAGAATAGCCAGGGCAATTCTGAAAAATAAGTGTAAACACAGTATAGAGCCTCAATAAATAGAAGTTTGGCATTATGTAAGAGACAGACAGCTAAGTGAATAGAACATCCAGAAACAGACTTTATTTGTATAAAGTAGCATCTGAAATCAATGATCAAGGAAATAAATTATTCAACCAACCTTTAAAAAAAAAAAAAAAGTAAGGCCAGGGCCATGCCTCACACTTTATTCTAGGCTAAATTCCATCTGGATCAAAGTTTTAGATATAAAAATTGAAGCAAATACTATATGAAGAGAGATGATCAAATTCATCTCAAAGAGGAAAAACATAGATTTTTACCCATCCAATGATCAAAGATCCAAAAATATAACTCACTCTGTTAGAGCCCAGTTACTGCTCTTGGATATGACAGCATAAACTGGTACAACCCTCATGGAGGTCAATTGTTCAAAATACATCTAATTATGGAAGCATATAGCCATTTCTAAGAATTTATCCTACAGGTACACTTGTGCATTTATGCGGAAGGTTATTCACTGCAGCCTAACAGAGATTAAAAGCACCCTAAATGCCCTTCACTAGAGAACTTGTTAAATAAATTACAGTATTTCCATGTAGTGAATTACTGTTCTCTTTAAAAAAAAAAAAAAAAGGAGTTATTTTCTGTATGAATATGAATAAACCCCAAAATACCAAAATATACCAAATGAATAAAGCAAGGTGAAAAATATGTGTAATATACTGTTATCTGTGCAAAAGAGATGAAAATAAAAGAATATACATATCCATTTGCTTAAATAAGCATAGACTATCTGGAAGGATATGCAAGAATAGTAATAAAAATCATTAATAGTCATTGCCTGCAGAGAAAGGGGTAGATAGCTAGCAGAGAGGGTTGGAAGGCAGAATGTTCACTGTAATGTCCTTTTTTATTTCTGCATTTTGAATGTATTATATATTCAAAGAAGTTGTTTTAAAGATGTAAAGGATAATAAACAGAACCAAAGCAATACTTTCTTACGGAGGGATTCTCAACTGGGATCGCGGGGTCCTTAGGGAAACATCTCTTAAACTGCCTGAAACTTTATTCAAAATGTATATATGTCTATTTTTCTTAGAAGAGAGTCCATAATTTTCATCCCATTCTTAAAAAAGCTAAAGGACACGTAATAAAGAACCATTTCTCTAAAACACTTAGAAATATCTTAGCAGTCTATATTTATGCCACTGTGTCCTTCTTGATTAGCAATATAAGAGATCATTTTTAAAATGTGAATACCCTAAAAATGTATCAATAAAAAAGTGATATGCAGTCCTATCTATACCTCCTATGTCTAGCTTCCTGGAAATGCAGGGGCACCGTATTGTTTCTTTTTCAGTGATCTGTAATATGCTCCAAAGTGGCTTAGCTGAATTCAACCACAGAACTCACACAGGGCCACAAAGTAATAACTATCAGCCTCTTACAAATTGATTTTGAATATATGTCCACATGTAATCTAGTTATGCATAATTTTTTGAAAGTGTTTAGTTTTGTTTTTTTCTGTGTTAGTCACAGATGTGTATTATATCTCTTTTAATGCTAATAATTGTTTGACAGCAAGTTAGAACTATAAAGAGGTTAACAGGAAAAGCTACGAGTCATATGTGATGTTGGATAAATTCTTCTCTGTTTAAGCCTGTTTCCTTAACCGTGAAACAGAGATAAAAGTACTCCTTAGAATTGCTCTTACAACAATGTACCTGACAAAGTACTTGAAAGATATTAGCTATTAGTTCTCCAGTCCTAATTCAATACTATGCAGACAGCATGCTAAAAATAAGTGCATTGTCTATTCATGGTTGGGAATCCATGAACATGGAGGGCTGACTTAAATGTAATATGGTGTATACACTGATATAAAATAAATTTTATCTAAAGAATATTTAGCCCAGAATTTGGTCTATTATGCACTTTTCTATGTATATAAAAATAAGGTATAAAATGTGAACATCAAAAATGAAGTGATACATATATATTTTTAAAGTTATATGGAGATTTCGAATGCGTGGGTAGTTGGCACCTATTAACTCTGCATTATTCAAGGGTCAATTGTATTTGCTAAATTCTGAGAGATCATTAAATACATACTTAAATCATCTCAGATATTAATATATTAATTTTAAAGTAATTGCCGAAGATTTCTTATCTTAGGTTGCTTTTGTATTGTTTCACACTGGCTTATTGACATGGTCTTCAAAGATTTCTAAACAACTCTATTACTTTTAAAATGGGGCGGGGGGGGGGGGCGCGAATCTCAAGAACTTAAAAAAAAGGCAACAAGCCACTCTTTAGTACACCTGGAGGAATAAGAATTTTAAGAGTTTGACGACCTGATTTCAAATTTACCTTGTCACTGACAAACTCTGGGCAAGTTACTTTACCTCTCTGAATCAGAGAATCTTCATCCATAAAACCAGAATGATATCCACATCACATAACAGTAAGATGAGCAAGCATTAAAAATGCATTAGCTGCCTTAACCGGTTTGGCTCAGTGGATAAAGTGTCGACCTTCGGACTGAAGAGTCCCGGGTTCGATTCCGGCCAAGGGCATGTACCCTGGTTGCGGGAACATCCCTCGTAGGTAGTGATGTTTCTAACTCTCTATTCCTCTCCATTCCTTTCTATAAAAAATCAATTACACACACACACACACACACAAACACACACACACACACACACACACACACACACACACACACACGCACAGACCATATTTTCCGCATATAAGACGACCTTTGAAACGAAAAAAAAGTCAACCGAAAATTGGGGGCAAAAGACCAAAATTGCACAAAAATTACCTGCATATCTTGACGGCAAAGTAAATCTTTTCTTTGAAGTGGAGGGTAGTCTTATACAGCGAATATAGGCCTAAACCTATGTTTTAACTGTAAAAATTAGTGGGTCGTCTTATACACCGGAAAATACGGTATATATTTAAAAATGCATTAGTAAGTACGGTGATTATCAGAGAGAAAGGGGGGAATGGGGCTGGTAGAAGAGGTGCAAGGTAAAAAATGGTGATGGAAGGAGACTGGACTTGGGGTGGTGAACACATTATACAATGTACAGATGATGGATTATAGAATTGTATACCTAAAATCCATATCATTTTATTAATCAGACACTCCAATAAATTCAACTTAAAAAATAGGTTAGAAAATGGGGTTGGAATCCTTGGCTGTCCAAATGCAAAAAAAAAAAAAAAAAAGTGGACTTGTATCAACACCTATCATCATTATATTAAAAAATTAACTAAATGTAGATCATAGACCTAAATGTGACGACACCTAAAACTATAAAAACTCGCAGAAGAAAACAGGAGAAAATCTGTCACCTTCAATTAGACAAAAAAATTTCTTAGATACAACATTTAAGCAAAATCTGTAAACAAATTAATAAGCTGGAGTCCATCTAAACTTAAAATGTTTGTTCTTCAAAAGGCAATGTGAATAGAATGAAAAACAGGTCACAGGGTGCTAGGAAGTATTTGCAAAGCAAACGACACACAATTACAAGTGCTGATGAGGATGAGGCATAACTAGAACCCTCAAACACTGCTGATGGATGGGAATTCAAGTTGTGCAGAGCTCTGAAAAAGTTTCAAATGTTAAACATTTGTTTTATGACCCAGCAATTCCACTGCTACGCATGTGCCTCCTCAAGAGAAATGAAGCACATGTTCACAGAACATCTAGAGATGAACAACCATAGAAGTATTTTTTATGATGACTCCAAGTGGAAACAACCAACAGATTAACATACACACAAATTGTAATATAGTCATACAATGGAACGCTATTCAGCCATGAAAAAGGAACGAACTACTGCTATATGATGAGTGAAAGGCGCCAGACAAAAAACGACTCCTACAAAAATGACCCCATTTATACAAAATTCTAGAGATGTATGGTAGCAGAAGGCAAATCAGAGGGTAGAAGGCCAGAAGTAAATCTCCCCAAGGGGCATGGAGGAACCTTTTGCGGTAATGGGTGATGGTTTCACAAGGACGCGTATACATACGTCCAAACTTTTTTTTTTTAAATGCATTTTATTGCATGCCCGTTTCATCAAAAATAGAGCCGGTTAGCAAAAATAATGAGCAGAATCCGAATTCAACTCCTTCCAGTGGTTGGCAAACTCATTAGTCAACAGAGCCAAACACCAACAGTACAACGATTGACATTTCTTTCGAGAGCCAATTTTTTAAAACTTCTAACGCCACTTCTTCCAAATCGACTAGCCCGGGCCGTAGTATTCTGTGGAAGAGCCACACTCAGGGGACCGAAGAGCCCGTATGTGGCTCGCGAGCCGCACTTCGCCGACCGCGGCCTTAGACCCTCAGACAATATTTTGCTGGAAGATGACGAGATGAGGGCTAACGTAATCAAAACCGGGTCGCGGGATAAGGTCCAACTTGAACCTTGAGAGGTCCAAGTCTGCCTAGCAACCAGAGAACCTGTTCTAACCCAGAACCTGAAGCTTCGATCGATCCTCCAGAAATCCGTTCTGGGAGACATCGCCTTCGCTTGGCAGACAGACTCTTGGGGACAGACAGTCTCATGTTCTGTCTTCTGAGTGTACATGGGGCGACCCAATACTTGGAGTTTGCCCAGGGCAGCCCCGCAGCCGCTCAGGGGTCCCCCGGAAGGTCCAGCCCGGCGCCCCTGGACCTCGCAGAAGCATCCGCCGCCTCCTCCCCACGCCGCTTCCCCCCTTCTCCCCTTCCCCGCTCCCCACCTGCATGTTCCGCAGCAGCTGGAAGATCTCCATGGTGCGGTACACGATGTCCTGCACCGTCTCCTGCCCGATCCGGCACAGGGAGGCCGTGTTCACCTCCCGCGTGGCCTGCGGGGCCTGGGGCCCAGCGAAGGGCCCGGGCGCCATCCCCGACGCAGCCAGCGGAGGAGTGGCCATGGCGCGGCTGGGCCTCAGGCCCGCGGGGCCGCAGGAGAAGGGTCCGGGGAGGGGAGGGTCCCCGTGGGCGTCGGCGTGTCGGCGGCCTCCGCGTGGGTAGCAGCTCCTGAGACTCCGGCGGCCGGATTTCAAAACAGCGGCCGTGACTTCCGTCAACGGTGACGTAACGCGTCATCAAACGTCATGGGCACCGCCCACTCGGCGCAAAGCCGGCCAGGATTGGACCGGATGCCTGGGCGGGCTCGGACGGACGGGTGGTGTAGCCAATCGCAAGCTGCAGTCCAGCCAGAGTAGGCGGTGCTAGTGGTGGGAGTTCTAGTGGGCTTTCCCAGAGCTCGTTTCCCAGGTGTTCAGCCCTTAGGATTCCTGTTAGAACTCCTTTGTGTTTGTTTCCTTGCTGAGCATTTTCTCTTATGGAGCCTGTGAGGTTTGCAGTGTTATTGTCCTTTTACAAGTAGGGGGGAAGGTCCAGAAGGACTAGTTTGACTAGTTCAGTTGCAGACGGCTTGCAACTGGTAACCTGCGATTTGAATTTAGAAAACGAAATTCCAGATCTTGCATGCTTCCCTGGGACCTGATACAGACGCTGGAATTACTATTGGTCCCAACTCAAATGTCTGTTTATTCGTGAAGCTTTGCATCTCACCCTAAGTGTGAAATTAACCCTCTCCTTCCTCAATTTGACTGTTATCACTATGATGTGCTATAGATTGTTCAGTTTGTTACTTTCTGACTTCCTCTCATCTTTTATATATATTTTATTGATCTTTTTATAGAGAGTTAGAAACATCGATCAGCTGCCTCTTCCACACCCCCTACTGGGGATGTGCCAGCAACCAAGGTACATGCCCTTGACCAGAATCGAACCCTGGACCTTTCCGTCCATAGGCTAACGCTCTATCCACTGAGCCAAACCGGTTTCAGCTCCTCTCATCTTTTTATACATACTAGCATGCAAACTCCATAAAACAGATACTATGCCTATGCTATTCCCTTACTGTATTCTTTAAACTTAGTCATTGGCACATAGAAGGTGGTTGGTTACTAAATACATGCTGAGTGACATAAACTTAAGACAAGCTAAAGTCATTCGTCCACCTACCTCTTACTGCCCATTTTCAAAAAGAACAAAAAATTTCAAGAATGTGGAAAAGGGTGATAAACACAAAATCATTGCATTTTAAAAAGTTTTTGAACCCTCCATTAATAAGCCTTTATAGGAAATTGTTACTAAAAACGACATAGGAACCATTATAGAAAATTTGAAGAGTGCTTTTACAGCTCCTTAGTGAGCAATTACCATGTGGCAAATACTTCCTGGGCACCTACTATGTGCTCCCTACTAGAAATGGAGGTAAAACAATAAACAAGTCAGGCAACAGTTCTGCTCTCATGAGTCAGGCAGAACTAATTATTGTGGGGAGTATCTTGAAGGAAAAGTTTAAGGTCCTAATATTAATGTGCTAACAATTTAAGAGATCAGGGCCAATCTGAAGGGAATAAGTTGGATGCTGATGGTGAAGGGGATCTATTTGGAGTGTTTATTCATAGAAAAAGTCATCAGAGGAAGGACAGTGCCCACACCTGAAGTGGCCTGCAAATGCTTTCCAACATCTAAAGTTCAGTCTGAGAAGTGTTGGGAGGCAACGATGAAGACAAAGGCAAACCTTGGAAGACCTTCCAAGACAAGTGAAGCAGTTTGGGTTTTATTCTGAGTGAAATAACAAGTCATTGAAGACTTTCAGGAGAGAAGAATAATTATCAGAAATATTCAATTAAGAAGGCTTATTCTGGCTACTAAATAATGTTGGATATGTACCGTCCTGTGCCATCACAAAGGGAGATAATGAAGATGGTGGTGGTGATGATGATGATGATGGTGATGATCTATATTAGAGAAATAGTACAGTGGTTAACGGAATACATTTAATAAGTAGGATCTGGAAGATTTGATGTTGACTGGATTGGGAACAAAAAAGAGAAGAAATTAAGGATGGCATGTATTTTTGCCTTGAACAAATAGTTGGTGTTTATGCCATTTACCAAGATGGGTTCCCCTGAGGGGAAAACATACACACACACGAACACACACACACACACACACACACACACACACACACACACATGAACATACACACACACACACACACACACACAAACAATTCAGTAACATTATGATTTGTATTAGTTTCCTATGTCCACTCTAACAAATTGCCACAAACTTAGTGACTAACACGGTTTTATTATCCAACAGCTCTGTAGGTCAAAAGTCTTAAATGTTTCACTGAGCAAAAATCAAGGTGTTGGCAGGCTGTTCTTTCTGGAGGGGGTTTAGAAGTGGTATAGTGGTAATTCAAAAACTCAGATGTCCTGAAGTAAAATTCAAACGTGGCACTGCCCAACTATGGACAAATTAAATCAACCTCCAGGTAAAGTGGAAATATCCATAGCACCTACCTTTGTGGTTTTTGATAGGATTAAGTGAACTTCTGAGTATAAAGTGCTTATAGTTCTTAGCATATAGTAAATATTCAGTATATCTGTGCTGTACCTCCTTTTACCATATGTGACAGTGAGAAGAATTGGTAAGTTGAGGAATGAAGTTGTTCCAGGACAGAACTCATAGAATCACTAAGAGGCAGAGAGAGGAAGAGCGGGTAACAATAACAATAAACATTGATAATAGCTAGAGAGGCTGATGGTTCATGCCATGCAAGTCGCAGGAAGCATGGATTGTTTCAAGAAGCTCATGGTGCACAGGGTCAGAGAGGTAAAGCAAAATCATCAACACAAAGGAGGAGTTATTCAGTAGAAAATTCTTGACCAAATCCCTTGAGTAGTGAGGGAGTGAAGCAGAGACTAGTTTCTACCCAGTATCTGCTCTGTCTTCTTTTTTCGCAATGGCACGTCTGGCATTTAGCAGAACACCCAGGGTAAAGGCTGGATGTCTCAGCCTTCCTCGCACATTAGCAAGGCCACTTGACTAGGCGATAGTTAATGGGTTATTGGTGGTTGTCTACAAAGCAAAAGAAAAATATCAACTGAGGCAAAAATATCAAAATGAGGCAACCTATAGAATGGAAGGAAGTATTTGTAAACCATATATCAGATAAGGTATCAATATTCAATATATATGAAAAACTCATTTACAACTCAATAGCAAAAACAAATAATTAAATTTTTAAAATGGGCATATTAATAAAAAGATATTCAAATAGACAATAGGTATCTGAAAAAAAAATGCTCAACATCACTAGTCATCAGGGAAATACAAATCAAAATGAGATATCACCTTACACCTGTTAGAATGCCTATTATGAAAAAGACAAGAGATAACAACTGTTGACAATGGTATGGCAATATGGAAACCCTGGAGCTGTTGGTGGGAATGTAAAAAAGTACAGCTGCTATGGAAAAGAGTTTGGAGAGTCCTCAAAAAATTAAAATTAAAACTACCATAGGATCCAGCAATTCCATTTTTGAGTATACCTCCAAAAGAATTGCAAACAGGATTTCACAGAGATATCTGCACTCCTATGTTCATTGCAGCATTCTTCACATTAATCAAGATATGGAAACAACCCAAATATCCATCAGCAGAAGAGTGGCATATATACATACCATATATAGGGGTCTCCTCGCCTTACCCATGGAGTTTATTCCAAGACACTCAGTGGATTCTTAATACCCTGGGTAATACTGAACCCTATAAACACTATGTTTTTTCCTATACTCACACACATACCTATGGTAAAGTATAATTTATAAATTAGACAATTTCATGTATAGAAGATTTGTTCTTACTATAGATCTTAGAAACCTCAGCATATGATTTTTTTTCTTTCTGTATTACATCAAGAACTTTCACATTTCACTTAAAGGAAACACTTGAGGCTTCTGTTTGGCATGTGGGAATTGCCAGCATCTCTACGCTTGCACGTAGGGGCTATTGCTAAGTAAAATGAGGGTGACTTGAATACAAGCTCTGCAATACTGTGACAGTTGAAGAAATAACTGGGAAGACTGCTAAGTGACTAATGGGGGCTAGTATGTAAAGTGTGATTACACTGAACAAAGCAATGACTTATGTCCTGGGTGGGTCAGAGTTGGTAGCACAAGATTACATTGTGCTACTCAGAAAGGTACATAACTTAAAACGTGTAAATTGTTTATTTCTGGAATTTAATATTTTTGGACCACTGATTGATATAAGTAACTGAAACCATGGAAAGTGAAACTGCTGATAAGAGGCACTATTGTATACACATGAACAAATGTATAATGGCATATTATTCAGCCTTAAAAAAAGGAAATCCTACCATTTGCAATATGGATGAATCTGGAAGACATGCAAAGTGAAATAAGTCAGTTACAAAGGGAAAAATAATTCATGGTTGCTCTTAAATGAGGCATCTAAAATAGTCAAATGTTTAGAAGTAGACAATAGAAGGGCTAGGCTAGGGGATGAGAAAGGATGATATTAGGAGTGTTGTTCAATGGGTAAAAGTTAGTTATACAAGATCAGTAAGTTCCAGAGACCTGCTGTACAACACAGTGCCTATATTTAACAGTCAGATTTTGTGTCTCTAAAAATTTGTTAAGAGGATTGATCTCATGTTCAGTGTTCTTAACACACACACAAACACACACTCCAAAGGGACAAAAGAAAAGTTGGAGGTGATGAATATTTTTACTTTCTTGATTGCGGTGATGGTAAAATGGGTGTATATAAATGTCCAAACTCACAAATTGTAGGTATTCTTAAATGCAGTTTTGTTAGATACTAATTACACTGCAATAAACTTGGGGGGTGGGGGAAGAAAAGAAAGAAAACAAAGCAAACAAAGAAGGCCCTGCAGTTTCTTCTTCCAGCTAGCTGGGATGCAGATAGCATGGCTGCGGTTCAAATAAGCTCTTAATTTGGGGGTTTCCTGTCACCTGCAGCTGAAGTGAATACTAACTGCCGAAGT